GTATGATGTATATACGAGTGTGTATGTCCATATGTTGATACGAGTGTGTGGTTGGTGAGGTGGTGTTGTGATATGTGTTTGGTTCGGTGGGGTGGGTGGTGGGGGGGGGGGGGGGGGGGGCGTGGGGGGGGGGGGGGGGGGGGGTGGGGGGGGGGGGCGTGGGAGGAAGGGGGGTGTCAAGGGTTCCCCTTTTCCCTTTCCTTCCCATGCTTGTTTCTGGGTTTTATTTCTTTATTTCCTTCTCGGAGATACTAGCCTATTTTTGGCTACTCTGCAATTCGAGATAAAATAAAGTTTTATGTATGTATGGGTCTTTTACATTGGTTTTTGTATATTTTTCAACCTTCCCCTCCCTTGGCATATTTCCCACTGGGTTAATGCAACAATGACAACAATGGCTTCAATGGGCTAATTAACATCCAAAATAAAAGAGGAAAAAATCGTGAATTTCGACCAAATAAATGTAATTTATACTGAGAACATTAAATTCTAGTTTCTGGTGACTAAAACTAAAGTCTAGTTTCAAAAGTTGGGAATTCATGGAAAAACTGAAATAAAATGCAGACTCATGCAATCAGCCGAGACAAAACAAGTAATTCATTATAAACTGACTCACCTTTGCTTACCATTTTATCGCTTGCAGTGTTTCTTTAAATGTTGAACGACTTTTTCAGCTTATGTGAATCACGCGCGGAAACAGCAACTAATATTACCAAATGTTCACTTTTTTCCCAAACTTTTGCTCCTCTTGAGTTTAAATTTGCATTTTACAAGTATTTTTCTTAAAACATAAAGTCTCTTTGGCTCAAAATAAAGTTTTAAATACAGAATAACTACGCTCCTTTACGTTGTTCACAAACGTGAAGACTTTCGAAGACTGCCTCCGACTGCACACGCTAAAAATGGCGGGAAGTTCAAGGATTGCGTGCTGTACTTTGTAAGCTGTTTTGTGATTGGTTGCTCCGTTAAAAGTGCAACATCTTTTTGCCAGAAACATGGTTCATACGGAAAGAGTACAAAACTAATTCCAAACAAAAGAATTCTGTAAGAATAGTCTTAAAAGTCTGTAAAAATGTACGGTTCTTCAAAACAGGAAAGAATCCTTGAAAATGTCCGTAAACAATCGATTTGTTAATGCGTTATTTATTTATTTGTTTTGTTTTTCCATTAGGTTTGACCAGGCAATGGTTGGATTTTTGGACTGTTTACAACAGGTATTAGAAAAATATAAAGTATCAAAACAAGATCATTTGATTGAGGCCTTTGCAGCAAGAAACGTTTTGAGGGAATTTGTAAGGAAGCTGTACGCGTAGTAGACTAATCTTGTAGACAGGTTTGTATTCCCTATAGTTGGTAACAAACTCAGTACCACATATGGCTTTTTCCCCTCTAAGTTCTCACTACATTATTCTCTTTAGAGACTCCAAAATTAAGTGTAACCCTGTAGCGTACGGTACACAGTGCTACTGTAGAGTACTGCTATTAATGTGGCTTTTATTTGGATGACCCAATTTTAATAAGGTCATTTTACATTCCGTGGGCATCTTGCCGTTTTTAATCTGTTGTTGTAGCTCAGCTTCATTGTATGAAACATCATTTGAGACGTTTAAATAATGTTCGTCTTTAGTTTAAAGAAGCCGTAGCGAAAGTGGATAAGAGATTTTGTCTTCCTTACAGGTAAGCACATAAAAACTGAGTGTTAACAGACACATAAACCAGGATACGTCAGTTCGACTCAGTAAAAACCGACATAATAGTTAGAATACTGGCATTCGTGAACTTTCTAAGTTGTTTCTTTTCCATTGTGTATTTGTAACAAGTGTGCATTCGTTTTGTGGTCTTAAGTGGAATTGTGTAGGCTTAAAATCAGAACTGGAATCGATTTTACTTGGTTTATTGAAAAAAATATTCAAGCGTGACGAAACTTTTCAGCCTCTTTACCGTTTCGGAATTGTGTGACAAATTGGTAATATTAATTCATGACATAACGATTACGTTATTAAGTGCTCGTTCCAAAATTACACAAGGCGTATTCGAAGTTACTTGATTGCTAATTGTTATTCATGACGCATCCCTTGCATCACTAATTACTAGCTCAATTAGCCCGATCACTTGCTAACGAACTCGCGCTAATGAACTAAGTGGTAATTACGTTTATGACGTGTACCCCGAGAAACTAATCATTTGCCACTTCTCACCGGACTGGTCGGACGCAACTTTTTTAGCTCCGTGAAAAATTCGTCAGATCAGTTCAAAAATGGCCAAGGCTCGCCGTGGTACCAAGAAATCTGTTGTAGCCAAAAGAAAGAAGGCCGCTAGCAAGAGATCAGCCAAGCGCCTGGCTCTTACAAATCAGACGGTATACAATGCCATCGCAGCCTTGAAAGACCGCAAGGGATCAAGCGCCAAAGCCGTTTTGGCTTATCTCAAATCCCAAAATGCAACAAAAGCAGTGTCACCTCTGCAAGTAAAAGTTGCTTTGGCAAGAGGTGTGAAATCAAGAGCGCTTATCAAGAGTGGCGCTTCCTTCAAGCTTCGTCAAGTATCAACTCCAAAGCCAAAAGCAAAGAAAGCAGCGAGGCTGACAAGATCTCGCTCCCGCTCGAGATCAGCTTCAAGTACCCGCTCCAGCAAGTCCCGATCGCGTTCTCGTTCGCGATCCCGCTCTCGATCACGATCTAAGAGCCCAGGCAGGAAGTCGGTGAAGACAGTTACTAAAGCTAAGAAGGTAGTCAAGAAGGTTACCAAAAAGCGCAAGGCCAGGCGTGGAAAAGCCGCGGCCAAGAGACGCCTCACCCCAAAAAGAAGCAAGAAGGTCGTACGCAAAGTAAATAAGAAGGCTGCCGCACCACGAAAAATCCGCAGAAGGCGCCGACGATCTGCGCGCAAGTGAATGAACTTTTAACTAAACGAAGGACTGATCATTTTTTTAGCTTGCTATGGTTAAGGTCTTAAAAGCTCCTTTAAGAAAAAAAGACTTGACACGCTGAATTGAAATTTTAGTAAGCGATAATAACTGGCAATTTTTCACACGGATGGACTGTACATTATAAGAAAAACATCTTGAAATAAAAAAATATGGAGGGACAAGAATGTTGTCTGTTTTATATACTGTGAGAACGATCCACAAGATAATGCAATTAGTTATATTCTTGTGAAAAAAACCCTAATTAAGTATTTTTTTAATGGAGGCTCCTCGTACGCGCAGTTTCACTGCGCGTTTAGGATGGGCACTAAATAATACGTTTACTTTTATAGGCGATACAATTCTGGTAGGAAAAAAAAGAACAACAATTACAACAATTTGCATTGCACTGTGCGTACAGTTTGAGAATGATTCCTTCAAGGAATCTCCTTCCCAGGCTCTACTTTGTTATAACCCGTTCTGCCAGCCGCATTAATACAGGTTTAGGGAAAAGTGTTACGTTTGAGCTTAAAGTACAAGAATTGTTGGCCCACAAGTCAACTTAAGCTAGAATATGAGGACCTAAATTTTGGTCCAGTCATAGAAGAAACAGTTTAAAACGCACTTCATGTTTGAAAAATTGAATTAAAACGTTTGCGCGAATTGTCTTTGTCTCCGTCTAACACTGGCAAGATAACTGGTCAGGGCAGCCTGGGCAGCTCGCAATTGGGCAATTTCTCATGTAAAATTTTGTTGTTTCTATGTAGGATGGAGAAAGGAAAAATTTACGACTCCAGTGGAAGTGGTGGAGCGTTTTCTATAAAGTGAGTTACTCTTTTCAAATTGGCAAGTTACCACATCGTTGACAAAAGCACCTAGAACATGACGAAACAATAATCCCGTTACATATGAGAACAAGTCTGTAGTTGGATGATATAAATCCATGACAGGAATAACCCAAAACAGTAGGTTTTTACGAATTCAAAATGGAGATTTTACCGTTTTATTAGACGTGGAACATAACCAACAAAGTCTAACCCAACACGGGAAACAGTTCGACAATCTGATAGGTTTTTCAACGGTTAGCATCTTTCTTTCTTATTTTTTGGGTTGTGCAAACAACCCTTCTATTACCGGAAAATTGTATTCTGTAGTTGTGGATTATTAAATCTGATTCCAATAAATGATTTCCTTTTTTAGAATACAGTTCAACTCGGAAGAGCAATGGACAAAAGCGTTGAAATTCGTGCTGACTAACCTGAAATGGGGACTGGCCTGGGTCTCGTCCCAGTTTACCGAGAAGTGATCATAACGCGCGGTCGACTGTGCTGTAATCACTAAATCGAATTGATGTTAATTTATGGTTGGTCAAAACATACACACCTACCTCTTAACAGACGTCAATGAATAAAAAAGCAATTCCATTTCTTAAAAAGTTTGGTTGATATTTCAAGGGTATTTATGAAACAATCATTACCAAACGTGGTACGTGAACGTGGTAATCATTTGCAGAAGGAAATAAAGATCTGTCATATTTAATCATGATAGAAGATATACTTGGGTATTAAGCAACTGCTGACAGGAGATGTTGGATGTGAATACGCTCTCTTTATAAAGAAATTAATTCCTTATCTCCTCCCCTAACCCATATTACTACAGGCTGTGTAGTTCACAAACTAAAATTACTCATTGTAACTGTGTACGCGATCCAGAATATATGAAATTTATTTAATGAGGATTAAGTTTCCTTTTTTAACAACTCATCCCAGTTTCCTCCGTAAAAGGATATACAAAAGAAAAACAGGTAGATTAATGTTGGAAATTCTAGGTAACTTAATTTTACCTGAACCCGGAACTTGATCTCTACTACAGTTAGAGCTCTGAACATCTTAGTCTGCTACACAGCCGTTTTTAGTGTCGCTACGCAACGCTCTTCCCCACTAAAAACGGCTGTGTAGCAGACTATGACCATCGGAGGTGTATAGTTTCCCACACAGCCGATTTTGTGCTTTGTCTTGTCACACAATGCTCCTTCCCAAGAAATTGATAATGGACATTACCTAACCAACAAATCAAAGCAACCAAATGTCAGGTACCAGCATCTTGCCTCAATTTAGCCCCAGAGGGGGGGGGGGGGGGGGGG